TTGCACAAATACCTTGTGAGTGATTGGTATTGGAGGTTTTCAAGAAACTTTTAAAAAAATCACTTCCTACATTTTGTCTCAGATGGGAGGAAAATTTCAAACATTTTTGTTGTTGTTCTTGTTGTTCTTGTTGTTGTTGTTGGTAATAGCATAATGACAGTGGGAAGGGGCAACAAAGGGATAAGAAAAATGTTATGAATGATTTTTTCCAGTCCTGCCATATGTAACACTCTGTTACCTAAATCATAGTTAGATCATATTCAACCTGCTTACTAAACTGTGTTCTATTTACCAGTGGGATTTTCTGCAGTTGTTTTGCATTTCATTGTAAGGATACTAGACTTCTCTGTGTTCCTTAAAGTATGACACTTTAAGGTAGCCTGAGACAGGTCTTATGGCTTGAAGGTGAGCTGCGAGGATGAGACTAATTGACCTGCAGCAGTTTACAAAAACAGTTTTATCATTTGAGAATGCGCCATCTTTTTCTCTGGATAATTATTTATTACATCTTGCTTAGTTCCTATATTTTGATGGGTCTCAACATTGGCTCAAGAATGCTGTTAATATTTATTCTCTATTGATAAGTGTGTCTTGCCACTATGAGTAAATCTCCCAATTAATATTTTCTTCTTTAGCATAGCACTGTCATTTTTTTTGTGAAAATGGTTGTCTGTTTATTTATTACAATACTGAGTCATATATAAATTTTCAATAAAAGAAACTTTCTTACCTTAAACACTGTTGTTGTTTTTCTTGCAATGAAAACTTGAACAGAAGTTTGTGTATCCGTAAGACTTTGCTTTTGAAAATGATCTTCTAGAAGGAAGGGCAGGGTACTGAACCACACTTGGAGCAGAATAAGTGTACAGGATCCCAAAGGAGCCCTACTAACACACACATGCAAATTAAAAGTAATTAGTCATATTCTTAAAGAGTATAAACTATTATCTTCTTTGAAAAGGGTCATCTCTGTTAAGATTTGAGAAAACGGGTGATTCCACACCACTGGGGGAAAAATACTCTTACGAATTTTTCACATTAATACTGTGAATTGTCATAGTTTTGCAGTTTGCAGTTCTCCTGTAGAGAACTATGTTTCCTGATAGCTAGCAAATCTGGGTATTGAAGTGAAAGGAAGAGGGTGTTTGGGAAAGGTGAGTTGGGGGAGGAGTGTGTGCAGGTATGCAAGAAGAGGAAAGGGAGAATTTTTAACAAGAATTTCTAGGCCCCGGATAAAACTGGCTGTTCTACAGCCGTGCCATCACTCCTCTACCGGGGTGTCCAAACAAAGAAAGCTCGTTCAACAAGTCCGGAAACTTGGAGAAAACACCAGCTTTTACACTTCAGCCTAGATCGATCTGTCTTTCTGTCTCTTTCTCTCTCTCTCACACATACACACACACACACACATTTCGTTCGAAAAGTTTACCGTACTTCTAATTGTCAGTCCTTCAAAGTGACAAAATTTTGCCACAGAATATCTTCATGACAGGAAAATAATTTTAAGTTACTAAAAACTTACAGGAACTAAATAGAATCATCTATTTGCCCTCTTTATTCGGGCGAGAGAACAGAAAGCTCGCTGGTGCTCTGGGGGAAACTCAGAACCTGCGTAACTCCTGGGAAAGCGGCAGAGGAAGTCGGCCGCCTGAGCTGCCCGGGCTTCAGCGAGCCGCGGTACCCGCACCTTTTGTAAACTGGATTCGGGGAACCTTCTTAGGGGCCTCGCGGAAAGGCGGCTTCCCTCTGCCCCCGATGTCGCTCACGACCCTTCAAGTCCCAGATTTACTAGGGTGGTTGGGGCCGCTACGCGGCCCTCACCTTGCCCCTCCTGCTTCAGTTCCCAGACTCCAGGATTCTCACTTAGGCTCCTCCGCGGCGCCCGAACGCCCCTCAGCGGCGGTGGAGCGCGGGGTCCCGGAACTGGCCAGGTCAGGCCCGCGGCGAGCGCGCTCTTACTTCCCTGCGAGGCGCCCAGGGGCTGGCTCTTTGGGCGCCAAAGAACCCACAGCGCCAAAGGATTGGAAACTGGAAAGCCTTCGTTGTGGGACCGAACACTCTAGGTCTGGGGGTCGCCGAGGTGCTGGAGCGTTGGTGAACTGGCTTAGGCGCAGTCCACGGGCCAGTGCAGAACTTTCGCCCCTGGCTAAAACCTCCAGGCTCTGGATTCAAACCCACGGCCCTGTCTCAGGTGTCCTGCGGGGAGTCCGGCCTCGCCTGGAGGTCACCTGGATGCTGGATCCGAGTCTCAATGTCCAGGTCCTTTGCCCCTTCCTGGTCCGTGAGCCTTCAACTAGGAGGCTTCCCCCTCGTCCAGCGCGGTCCTCACTTTCCCTCCCCGCACCGCTGAGGTTTGTGGAACTGCCGCCGCTTCTGGCCGTCTCTCCCACCTGGGCTTTTGCCTGGGGTCGGCCGCCTCAATCCTCTGCGCTGCATTCAAGAAACTTTCATCTCAGTCTCTCCCTCTGCATTCACCTCCCTCTTCCCTCTCATCTCTCTTGTCTTAATCTTGGGTTTTTATGAGCTGAGCATTAAGAAAATTCGCTCAAAATTTGGGATTAGATAAATACTCTCATGGCTGGGGGTGGGGGGAGTCCGTGCTACTTGATACCTCCCGACTTCCCCGAGACTGGAGGCAGCATCTGGAACCAAGAGCGTCGGACTCCCTCGCGGCGGGCCTTGGGGACAGCGCAGGCACATTCCAGTGCTCGCGGAGCCCCACCTCATCTTGCTGGACCCTGGATGGGTTCTGTGGCAGCCAGAAAACAACCTGAAGGAGGCAGGAGTGAAAGATTGTAGGATCCGCCCGGGACGCGGCTCTGGCACGGGACGGCCCACACGGGCTCACAGCGCGCAGGCCGGGGCTCTGGCAGCGCCAACTTAAGGACACGGACCATGCCAGCGGGTGCCCCAGGACGTCTACATACTCTTCCCCTGAAACTAGTGCGACCCAGTTCGCGCCCTTTCCCGGAACTGGGGGCGGGAGGGTATTTCGTTTCCTTTTTAAACTTCAGCACCATCTACGTGGCTCTAAGCCACGGGCGGCTGACCGTCGGCCTTGAGGGCTACTCCTGGCGGGGGCCTTGGCGAACCTAAGGTGTGTCCCCGCCTGGGCCAGAGCTGCGCTCTGCGCTCTCTCCTTTCCTCTTAAGCGTTCACGTTTGCTTGCTCTCTCTCTCTCTCTCTCTCTCTCTCTCTCTCTCTCTCTCTCTCTCTCTCTCTCTCTTTTCCTCTAGTTCTTTTATTCTGCTTTCTCTTTCTCTCTCGTTTGTGAATGGGCCGCGGTGTCTTTGTTCTAGAGAGAAGCCCCCGTGTCGCTGACTTTTGTGAACCACAGAAGGATCTTGTAAAACCTCCTTTTCTCCCTCGTAGTCCCCCACTCTCACCCCTCCTTCCCTGCCCCTTTGATTAGATGTTCCCTTGTCGTCCAAAAAAAAAAAAAAATGTAATTTCGTTGGTCTGGCGGCCACTTTCTTTGAACATTAGCTCGCTTTCAGCTCCAACTTCAATTAGAAGGAGTTGATTTTGAGAGATCAACAAAAGAACCGACCAAAGCCTTATTAAAGGTCCTAAGAAGATCTCCCCGGTCCTTTGAGAAGCAGTTAAGGAAACAGTGTGCCCTCCATCATATTCTGTTACCGTATTTTATTCTGACTCCAAAGGAAAGTGTCGCTTGGGGGAAGGGGAAGCACTTTGATGAGTGGCGGCCGCAGCCCCCTTTCACTCAGCGGGCTCCCCTTTCCTACTCCTCACCCAGCGCCCGGTCAGTTCGCGGTGCCCGACCCCGGCCCGGGCAAGGCGAGCGCTCCCCACCGCCTTGCGCCCAGCGACTCCTCGCTCGCTCACAGTCCTGTGCAAACTTTTCACTCCGCCCGTTGGTGGGGGGGGGGGGTAGATTGAGAGGAAGGGGTAGGAATTCCTCGAAAGGGAGCAAAGTCGTGCCTAATATTCGTGAAGAGGTGCCTTTTAAAGAATTGCCTTGCTCAGGGTTGGGCCAAAAACACTGTTCTTACGCTTTGAAAAGTCCGCACAGGTAAATGTACTTAGCAAGTTTGTTCGACTAGGAAATGGGCTTCGCCAATATGAACAATCGGGGAAAGCGCTTTGAGGAGGCTCTGGCCTCAGCAAGTGGGAAAGAAATTGAGTGGCGGGGGTCTGTGACCACATTTTCCACCACACTGATCCGGGTATCTGGAGATGTGGAAGGAGAGACAGAAGAATGTAAAAGAGTTTCCTACCAAGATCTTACGACTGAGAAGTAAGGTGTATGTGTGAGGGGGAAAGAGAGGCTGGGGTCCAGCGGTTCAGCAGAAGCATTTAAAGCGTACAGACACCTTAGGGGGAACCGGGAACCCCTGGAGACGCTGAGGAGAGGGTGAGTGGTGGCGCGTTGCCTGTGGGTGCTTTTCCCAGGCGCGGGAGTCCCGGGGCGCGGAGGAGGCAGCTGCTCCCGCGCTCAGCACAGTAGCCTGCACTGGCACGAGTCGCCAGTGGCGTCGGTCTGCAGGTGGGGTGCAGAGGAAGGAGACGAAGGGGCACTAGGTGTTGCGAGAGGGGCCGGGGCCGCCTCATCTCCAGCCCGCCGCCCCCAAGTCCTCGCGCCCACATTCTGGCCCCAGAGCCGGTGGCGCGCGGGAGAGTAGAAACCGGTTACCCAGGACTTCGCCTCCTCTCTGCCACTCCCTCGGAGCTCCGAGAGGGTGAGAGAAGGGCGGGGGCCCCCAAGCAGGCCTCGGGACCCACGGCCCTCTCTGCGGCAGGGACTCAGGCGCTCGGTTCGCCCTCCTCCTTTCACCCAGCTCTCCGCGGAATTTGCCAGCGGAGCCCCAGAGTTAGCGCGCGACCTGGGCGGGGTGGGCGGGCGATGAGGGCGGGGTATAGGGGGCGGGTGAGGGCGGGGGTGCGCAGAGGTAACCCCCGGCTCGCGCAGCCATTGCCCGGCTCCCTGTCACTCAGCTGGTGCAGGGCCCAGGATTGGCGGCCTAGCCCCGTTACGCACTCGCCTCGCGTTCACATACCCGGGGAGGGCAGTAGAAAGGTGATCAATCTTCATCAGGCTACATTTCCAATCACCTAAACTACCGAGCAAGACAAGCCACTCCGACAAGGTAAATCGCTTGATTTATTTAGTTTGCAAAGTGACTCTGCAGGACTTCCCAGTCCCCACTGCTTCCACGTTGCACCAGTAGTGCAGCGGCAACCGCGAGCCACCTCCCAACTCTGCCCCTCAAATCCCCCTCCCTCTTGGTGGCCCCTCGGCGCAGTCCCGGGCGAGGCAATGTCCGCGAGAGCGTGTGGGGCTTTGCAACCAAAGTGTCTGTGCAATAAAGTGAAACCTGAAGGGACACGCACAAAGCTACTGGAAAAGAGAGAGATGGGAGGAAGGAAGTTGGGAAAAGAAAGAAACCCGGGGGTTCTAGATCAGCCGCCGGGGGTAATTCCTGCTGCCTTTCTGTTTTCCAGGTTGGCTGCCTGGCTGGTCTCTGTGAGAGCGCGAGGTAGATGGTGAACGGCCCCGACAGCTGAGGGCAGGTAAGGAGAAAGCCGTGGGGCCTCCCGCGACTCCGGAGCGTGTTGGTTACTCTTGCCTCCTACTCAAACCGATCCCGGCTTCGACGGACCCGGGCAGGTGGGCGGGGCTGGGGGGGGGGAAGCTTGGCTCCCCTCTGGCTAGCGGAGGACACCAGACCGCTGCAGCGGCCCGGCGCCCCCTCCCCCGCCTCCTCCGAAGTAACCGAGCTGAAGTACTAAGTTTGGAGAAAGTCTTTGGAAACTCGCCCGGCAACCTTGCAGAACCGCCGCGGCTTCAGTCCCATATTCCTTCCACCGAAGTGCGAGCCCCAGTTGTTCACCTTTCCCTCCCTTTCCTTGGAAGCTGGGGATCCCTTGTCCTGGCCGTGGGCGCTAGAGGACGAGAGTGGGGTGGGGGTTGGGAGAGAGAGCTGCTTTAGCTCCGACTCACTTCCCCGAGTTTCCTAATCCTGGTTCCTGGCCTGCTTTACAGAATTCTCGGAAAGCGAAGTATATGGATTAGGTCCATAGGGTCTCCTGTATCACTGCCCAACTTCCTTTCTTGACCCGATAGTAGTGCCCCTGGTTCTGAGCAGCGGTGGAAACGGTGTTTCGACCTTCCATCTCGGGTCTGCGTGGGCTTTGCCGTTGAGGCCTAGTTCGATATTCTCGACTGGGTCCTGGGGCCGCGGGTTCAGCTAATGGGATAGTACAAAGCACACACAACCGACTGTACTAAGGCTTCCCAAATCCCCGAGACCCTTTAAGGTGCTGGGCTGGTCACTCTTTTCCTGATGAAGCCGGTTTGCACAAACCGATTGGATAGAGAAAAGGCCTGCCTTGTGTGGGCAGAGAAAGGCAGGTGGCCGAGACTCAGGCACTTCAGACCTCGGGTGGTGTCATGGAACTACCACTTCTACTACTTCTCTTTGGTTTTCGTTGGCCACCTTTGAGGTCTGGGCCTTGACTTCGGTGAGGTGCGGTGGGATCCTGGATAAGCGATGTCTCCGATGTCTCCGTGGCTGGGCACTGAAAGGTCATCCGGGATAGTGATATGGACTCTAGGGCAGGGCAGCGGCCATGGAGATCTTTGAAGGAACCACCCCTGCCAAGCGGACAATGCTTCCCCAGAGGCCAAGGTGCAGCCACCCCTCCTCGTTGCCTCATTTGTAGGGCCTACCTTCTGTGTTCCTTACACAACACTCTTGCTCTCTGCAGCGTGAGGTCTGGGCGCCAAGTGAACACTTGCTTGGGCAATATAAAGCTACTGGTCTTAAATTTTTGCCTGCATTTAGACTTTTGAATACTCTGTGGTTCAAGCAACCTCCCCAACCTGGCCATGGTTTTAAATACTCTCCTCATTCCTTTGGCCCATGCTAGCCCCCCAAAGAGGCAGTGACTATCCAAAAAGTTTACATTTAAAATAAGCTGTGCTCCCTCAGCTAGGACCTTGTAGAGCTGAGTTGACTGCCCTGTTCAGTTGTATAGACTGCACCCTCTACCCATCCAGGGGCTCCTTGCCTGGGACAAAACCTAAAAGCCGAAATGGTACTGAGTGATGTTCTCCATGTGTATCTCCTGTCTCCATAGGCCAGGCCCCCAGAAGCAACAGCTTGAAGGACTCCGCGGTGGGAGCCCTGTACTGTTCCTGGCCCCAGGCCCCCTGGATCCATTGGGGTGCCTCCACCCGGCTGTTAGCATGATGTCTTACCTCAAACAACCCCCATATGGCATGAATGGTCTGGGCCTGGCTGGGCCTGCCATGGACCTCCTGCACCCCTCTGTGGGCTATCCCGGTGAGCACTGGCCTTCTAACCCTGCCCCAGACCCTGTGAACACTGAGGACCCCTGGCCTCTCAAATTTGAATCCCCTTGATGATCAAACAGGTCCAAATTTGGATGCCTACAATGTAGGGCCTGCTGCAGGGACATGAGGCATAGTCACAGGTCTGTGAGGTGGTCAGGGCTTTTGAAAACTGCAACATGTGCCTTCTGAGTCTGTCCACATCAGCAACATGTCTCCTGTCTCATCTCCTTCATAGAGCCATTTAAACATGACTTAGTTTTCCAAACGTGACCATTGATTTTATGAATCTAGTCTCTCCAGCCCAACACTGAATAAAGAATCTGGACACTTATTAGGCCCTGACATAAGACAGCCAGACTTCCCTTATTCCGAGTGGCTGGTTATACAGAAGGTGGATTCTTCCTCCTATTTCTATAATCCTCTAGACTGGTGACCTAAACCAACTTTTGAATTGGTGAAGTGAACAACTTCAGCTAAACTCTGGGTTTTTCTATCTCTCTCTCTTTTACCCCTATTTATTTCCTGATAAAGTGTTTGGTAGATGATGTTTCTTTCCGAGGCACTCCTCCTTGCTGTTTATCTCCAAGCCAGGGAGTGTATATGTGTGTTGGGAGATGTGGGGGAAAGAAAATTGTGTGGCTTCTTTTTCTTTTTAATCTCTGGCTGAAAAGAGGGTAGCTCTAACCGTCTTGGAGACACTGGCCATAAGTGGAATACAGGCACCTTCTCCCACCTGTAGCTAGTCGGGCTCAGTTTCCAAGTGAATTCCTTTTGCTCAGAACTTAGCTTTTTCTTGACTCGGCCGGGTTCTGCCACTGCTGGGGGACCTGTCCGAGGCCTGTAGTACCAGTTGGCTTGGCCACCGCTGACCCGAAGCGCCCCCCACATGTCCTGGCAGCCACTCCGCGGAAACAGAGGAGGGAGCGCACCACCTTCACTCGCTCACAGTTGGATGTGCTCGAGGCGCTTTTCGCCAAGACTCGCTACCCTGATATCTTCATGCGCGAGGAGGTGGCGCTGAAAATCAACCTGCCTGAGTCCAGAGTCCAGGTAAGCGCTCCAGGGGTTTGAGGGTCAGGTTAGGCATGGTGGGGTCAGTCAGGCAGGTCTGGGAAAGGTGTTGTGGCATGAGGGAGAGCTTATTGGGCAGCCCCTCACTGACTCCCCCTAGTGCTGGGCGTCAGCCAAGAAAACAGGGCGAAGTTAAAGCAAATGATTTAGAGCCCTAGATTCCGGCCCTTGTTTCCTGGCGGCCTTTGGTAGCAAAATTGTTTTTTAGGATTTTGGGAAGTTAGGCTACCACACATAAAGTGCCCCGAGGATCCAAAACTTGTCCCTGCTTTTTCGGCCATCCAAAAGCTTGGCAGGTTATCTCTTGGAGGCCTCAATTCTGCCTCCGCCTTGCCTTATGTTCCTGGGATCCTGGAAGGGCAAGAGTGGAAATTGGCCGGAGCCCGATTCTCTGCTTGGGAGGAAGCTGTATGGGAGGAGTCTGTCTGATTAGACGCTTTATGTGTCAGGAGCGGACGCCGAGTGCAAAACTCAGCTGCCAGTCTTGCTATTTATGTTTTTAAGATGAAATAGCTCCGAAAACAGTTCGGATTCTCACTCAGAACTCTCCTCAAAGGTCTTTTGTCTTGCCTTCTTTCCCCGAAGGCTTGAGAAAAAAATCAGGAATCCAGTGCCATGTGCCAGGCCCTCCAAGAGGAGTGAAAACTTTATAACTGACCATTCCATTTGGTTTCCTGCCTGGAGCCAAAAAACCCAACGAAAACTCGTCCAGGCCTCTGTTCAGCCTCCCCCGTTATTCGTACTCACACCCAAATGTTCTTGCCTATCCAGTGTGGACCTTTAGAAGGCAGTTCAGTGGAACTGCCTGGGCCCTCAGACCACACTTGGTGGCTGCCCCGAATTTTGCTGCTCTGTATCTCTTCGCAGCTTCCCGAGCTCTGTTCATACAAAACAGGCCCTTCAAACAGACCCAGGACTATAGGGAAACAGTTTAGAGACGGCTGAGCTGGCTGGACAGATGCAAATATTCCGCCCTCCGGCAGAGTTGCGCTAGGGGTGGGGAGGTGCGCATCCCTGCTCCAGAGCCAGCTGAGGAGGGGCTTTGCGCAGACGGATGGGGGAGGGTGTAGGAGCTGGGAAAGCACTGTGGGGGAGGGGCAGCGTCTGGCAGGCCTGAGTCGGGGAGGGGTGGAGGCTTGGTTGGTGAGGGACGCGAGAGCCTGGGCGGGGTGGTGGGTCCGAGAGGCGGAGGTGCAGTAACTCCACTCTCTACGCTGACCTGCTCTCCCATGCCCGGCCCGCTGCAGGTCTGGTTCAAGAACCGCCGCGCCAAGTGCCGGCAGCAGCAGCAGAGCGGGAGCGGAACTAAAAGCCGTCCGGTCAAAAAGAAGTCATCTCCAGTGCGGGAGAGCTCCAGCTCCGAGAGCAGCGGCCAATTCACACCGCCCGCTGTATCCAGCTCTGCCTCGTCTTCTAGCTCAGCGTCCAGCGCTTCTGCCATCCCGGCGGCCGCTGCGAGCCTAGGCGGGAACCCGGCGGTGGCTGCCGCGCCATCGCTGAGTACGCCCGCAGCCTCGTCCATCTGGAGCCCGGCCTCTATCTCACCCGGCTCGGCGCCTGCGTCTGTGTCCCTGCCTGAGCCACTGGCTGCACCGAGCAACGCCTCGTGTATGCAGCGCTCGGTAGCCGCAGGGGCCGCCACAGCAGCAGCCTCCTATCCCATGTCCTACGGCCAGGGTGGCAGCTATGGGCAGGGTTATGCGCCCTCCTCTTCCTACTTTGGTGGTGTGGACTGCAGCTCATACCTAGCGCCCATGCACTCGCATCATCACCCACACCAGCTCAGCCCCATGGCACCCTCCTCCATGGCAGGCCACCATCATCACCACCCGCATGCACATCATCCCTTGAGCCAATCCTCAGGCCACCACCACCACCATCACCACCACCATCATCACCAAGGCTACGGGGGCTCAGGGCTTGCCTTCAACTCTGCCGACTGCTTGGATTACAAGGAGCCTGGCGCTGCTGCTGCTTCTTCGGCCTGGAAACTCAACTTCAATTCGCCCGACTGTCTGGACTACAAGGACCAAGCCTCTTGGCGGTTCCAGGTCTTGTGAACCTAGAAGAGAGGGAAAGAAGAAAAATAAAACACAACTACCTGCGTCCTCGGTGGTCCCCATCCTGTTGTTGCTGCTGCACCGCCCGCCTTTGCCTCCGCTTCTCCAAAACTGAATTTTCACGCCCCCAAAATATGCCCATTGCCTGCACTGCCACCCCTCCCCACTTTGTGCCACTTGTATGGGGGACAAGTAATCCCACCTACCTGGTGAACAGAGAACCGGTGCTTCAGCTTCACCCACAGGTTCTCTTTGGGATAGCCCTGTGCTCTCCCTCTCAACCCCCACTGAACTAAGTTACTCCCTCATCTTTCTGGACAGCTATTATGCACTTGCAGCCTTTGGAGGCTTTTCGCTCTGATCCACTGTTTGAGCCCAACACTATTATTTATTCTTTCTGGACACTGGAGTCACTAACTGGCGTGTATCTGCCCATTGGAGTGCGCCGGCACACTACTTCAAATCACAACAACCACTTAAGTGTTTCTCAGGCGGCACAGACTGTCGCCCCTCCGGCTGCCCTCTATTTGGCTGGCCCTCGCCTGCAAGCCAGAGCTTTCCCGGTTTTTCCTCCTTCCCAGTGGGGTGCGTGGGGCCAGGCCCTCAAGAAGAGCGCTCTCCTGCAGCCTCGATCACAGAGCCATGTCCCCGCCTTGCGCTGGACTAGTTCAAGCTTCCGCCTCGGTGGGAATGCTGTACATAGTCGGGTCCGTTCCAGGGACCCCTTAAACTTTTTAGTTGCTGTTGACTGAACTGAGCAAATCTCGTTTAGGCGCCCAGGAAACGGAACTTTAAGATATATACAGCATATATATACACATATATATAAAAACAAAAGCAAAACATATTTTCCCTCTATCCCCCTTCCTGTCTTCCTCAAACGATGGCGCTTTTGTTTTCCAGTTGTTACAAAGCAGTCCTGCTCTCTTCTCATCTCCCTCTGTGTATTTATTAGAGAACGGCTTGGTTACAGGAAGCTGAGCACGAAGGACCACGAATGTGGAGGAAACAGCCAGGTCAGGGTACAGGGTTGGGGGGGGGTCAGACTGGGGTGGGGCACAAGACTGAGCCCTTTGCCTGGTCTATGCACAGGGTCGCAGTTCTAATTTAGAGAACAAAGAACAAAAAACAAAACAAAGACAGCAAAAACAAAAACAAACAAAAAAACCCAACCCACCTTCCCCAAAAAACCTCACAAAAGAAAACAAAAAAGTTTTTAAAATATGGCATTATGGAAAAACAAACTCAGATCCCAAATCCCAGTTCCAATTGCTCTGTTTTACACATTTCTGTTTTGTCTAGTGAGCTTTTAGTGCACCTTCATTCTCCAAAATCTGGAAAGCCTGAGAGCCTATGTATCAATTTCGGTTTTGGCCGCTTTGTCCAGTAGGTGGGAAAGTAATTTGTAAGTATGATTTGTCCGATGTGAAGATCACAAATTACTTGTTGAAATGTAAGGCCGTCTCCCCTCCTCCTCTTTATCTACGTTATTTCCCAAAATAAATGCAAATTAATGAAAGGTTTGCCAGCGTTGCATTTGATTCCAGCCTTAGGTCCCAGTGTTAGGGCGCTAAAAGCAAGGAAAAGTGCGTTAATAACCTGAGTGTTCATGTCCTGAGTGAAGCTGGAAGCAAAGAATGGGGTGGGAAGACATGGCAAGAGGAACCCTCAGAAACGTTTTTTTAGGAAGCATCTACCTCCCACTTCCAGCCTGAACTCTTCATAGGCCTGACCTCCCCCACCCCTGGTATTTTGACCCTGCATTCCCCCTCCCCATCCAGGACAGAGACAGGTGTCAGGATTCAATTCCCGGAGCAATTCCTTTCTCTTCAGAGGCAGGATCCTGGCACTGATTTCTTCACCCTAATTGCCAGCACCAGAAAGAAGAGGGGGAGGGGGAAAGAGGGTCGGGAGGCGGGAAAGGATAGCTCTGTAATGCTCTCAGAGCTGAGCCAAAGGTAGGGGGGAGCAAAACGATGGGGGAAGGGGGCGATCTGTGTCCTGAATATTGGCAGCAAGACGACCTTTCTTGTAGAGCGGTCCCGGGTGGCATTACCGTGGCTGGGGAATTCTAGTCATTCCTACCACGTGCTAAAAAGTCCTTCTAAAGCCTCTGTCCGCGCCAAAAGTAGTCAAATTATCTTTGTTCATATTGTAAAATTCCTTTTAAACATACAAACATTAACCCTGGAAAAGTCGACAAGGATAAAAGCCCCCCCCCCCGGCTTAGAGCTGGGAGTCGTCAAAGACAGTTTCGCTTGCTTCTTTTAGGAAGACATAGGTAGTGATGTGGTACCCGCCCAACCCAGAGCCTGGAACTGTCCAGATTGTTTGGCCTGACAGCTTCTAGGTCTGAGGTTGAGAAGCTGCTCAGCTTGTCCATAGGTGGGAAGGAAATAAGGAAACAACGAAAAGTTTCCTGCGAAGTGACCAACACCTACTATTTTTTTTTTCTCCGCGTGAGACCTGAGAACCCATAGCGAGGCCGGGTTCGGAGGGCGACTCATGCCCAGTCTCGAGCCCAGCGAGGTCGCTGGGTTGCAGCCCTGGGTGTAAAAGAGCCTTCTCTGCGGCGTCCTCCCCTCAGCTTTCCCGGCCGGGCTCTGACCCTTCTTGTCCCCCTTCACCAAACCAGTCTTCCCCGACTGTGCTAGGGCCCGGGAGGGCGCAGCCCCCGCCCCGCCAAGCGTGGCCCCGGGCGCCGCCCTCGCACGAGGCCGCAAGTGGGGTGGCCACACGCGCGCAGCGCCCCCAGCACCTCCTGCAGCGAGGCGCGCCGCGGAGAGGGTGCTGGGTCCGCGCGGCCGGGAGCCTAGGCCGGTGGCCCGGCCGGGCGCTTTAGCAACCCGCGCCCAAGCCTGGGCCCCCGGGCCGTTGAGCTCTAGGCGCCCCTCGGCGGCCCGGCCTCGCGCTCTGGACGCTGCGTGAGGCCCAGGCGCTGCGCTGGCCGGGCCGCAGCTCCCCGAGTTGCGTGCTGCGGAGCCTCTTGACTTCTAGGTGAGACGAAACCAAGAGACCGCGCCTTTGCACCGACTCGGACCACGGCAGGGCCCTGGAGCAAGGTACCCAAACCCCTGGACTCCGGTTGTTACTGGGCCCCCGGTTAACCTGGGACGTTACAGAACCTCACACCGCCTCCTGAGGCTGAGTGCGAAGGTCGAACGCCAACCTCTGGTAAGGCGGCCCGCCGGCTTCTAGAAGCTTCTAGAAGCTTTGGCGCCTGCCTGATCCTGAGGCGAGTGGGGGAACCAGCGGTCAGGCGCGGAGGCCTGGTTACAGTTCCCGCCCAGGGCTCGAGGCTTCGAGGGGAGGCACGTGCTTCTCCCAAGGCCTCCCGGGAAGACGCGGCCAGAGTGAGGCGCCGCCTCTGGCTGCCGGAGCGTGGGGAGTGTGTGCGCGCGTGTGCGTGTGCGGTGGGTCCGCGCGGGCCGGGAATCTCCGGGCGGGCGGCCGCAGTGGCTGCTGTGGGGACGTGACAGGTCCCGCCCGGCCGCCCGGCCACCTGTTAACGGGGCAGGTGTTTTGAGAACCGTCCTTTGGCTCCCTTGGCTCGCACATCTCTTGAAAGTGAGTTTGTTCTGTTTGTATTTTGGTGTTTGTGGAAGGATGGAAACAATTAGAATTTAAAGCATTTACATTTAGCAGCCTAGGATTTAAGGAATTTAGGACATTTAGCAAACTCAGAAAACGTAGCAACGTTCAAACGTCTTTTTGTGAGGGCTCAACGAAATCTTTACTTTTTTTCCTTCATATCTTGGGATCTCTGGTCACATTGTACAGGCAAAAAAGGCTACCCTTAAATGAACGTACATCAGACGCTTTGGAGGTAAAGGATGGGTCATAGTTATGATTTTTAAAGTTTTTTTTTTTTTTAATCTTAAAAAGTACCTTCTGGGCACTGTATTGATTTTTGGAAGCTTTAAACAAGATTCGGTAAAGTAACCAGCTTTGTTGAAGAGCTCTTCTTCTGTAAGTTTTGTAGGGAGCTACTGAAGTTGTATAGAAACAGCGTTTCCAATTGTGAATTTTTTTTTTTTTTTTTTTTGGTTTGGGGAAAAAAAGTCCAAATAATGTTTTAACCGTAAGGGGGAAATCCGAGGGGAAAAACAGAAACTTAGGACACTGAGTGTCAGCAAATTCATGCCTGTTATATTAAAAAAAAAAAAACCCTTGATATCTTGTGTCGAATTAAAATTACTGGTCTTATTCATGTAAAATGAATTTGAGCAAAATTCCTTAAATTCTACAGCTAAATTGCTATTTTTTCCAGTTGTGAAACTAAAGGATAAACTCACCACTCTGTCAGAATTAATTATACGCTAATGATATCAGTAGTGCTTGATGACAAGTGCTAAGGTTGTCTTTAGAGGTACTGTATAGAATATAATGCATTTGATATATAAATGTCGTTAATATATACATTATTGGTAAAGAAAATCTGGATCATTACTATTCAAGACCAGAAAATCACTTGGCTTCTGATGCAGAATTAATTTAAGAACAGCAACAAGATATCTTTATAAAATTCCCTAATTAAAAACAGAACAAGTTCTCAAAGAGTTTCTTTCCCTTTCCCAATACATTTTAATGTGTAAAATGGTTAAAAAAAAAAAAACCAATTTTCGTAGTAATTAAAAACCAGCAACTTAAAAATGAATACTGAATGATGGCAATGCATTACTTATTTGACGACAAGAAAATATCTTCAATATACAGTATTAAGCTGTTTAAGTAAACATTGGGTGTCTGAACTGTACTTTCATAAAACTTGAAGCTTTGGGGAGTTGTTTAGTAGATGGTTCCTGAGGAAGCAATTATGTCTCTTAATCATCATGTTATGTGAAAAAAAAGTATGGTTTGAGGTGAGGGGGAAAAAAATCTCAATTTGATTAACTTTTTAAAAATCATATTGAAAAACCTGAGTTGGAGTTTACTCAAACACACTAAGTGCAGTAGTTCAAAAGTTTTAAGAGGCCAAAAATATTTGCTGAAAATTCTTTGGTAATTTAGATGAAATGGCATTTATGCAGTATAGCTAAAGTTGAAAGTACTTTTAAATATAGCCATCCCCCCGCCCCAGGAAAAAATAAAGAGGTATATGGTGCATTTGAAATTAAATTGCACATTACTAATATATATGTGTGTGTGTATATATATATATATATATATATATATATATGTGCGTGTGTGCATTTTTTGTTTCTAGGGCTATTACTTGAAAGGCAAGGATATGCTTAAAATATTTTGGAGTTCCTTCTAATCAAAAAGGACTTAGGTTTTATTTAATCAATGATAATCCATCAAAATTTAAACATTGAGAATCCATTGTATTTCTAAAAATTGTAGCTCTTTTACCCCCTTGGGATCCTTTGCTTTGTGGCTAATATAATCAAAGGGAAAAAATTACATTCTATTCTAAAGGTTACAAATACTTTTCTAAAAAGGTTAATCTTTATGAACAGCTTATGAAAACTATTGTAGAAAATTTTAGAAATTCTTTTAAAGCGAATTGTAAAATTAGGATTTAAGAAACTTGAGTTCAATTTTTGAGGGGGATTGGAGTATAAATAAATCATAACTAATTTTGACACATGGGATAAAAGCTAAAATGTAAGAGTAAACGGTCTCTGATTCAACAGCTTGGTGTCTAAAGAGCTTATAAAATATTTTTAGTACACAAATATTCTTATGTATGTTCAAAGCTCTAAATGCTTCTAAGATATACCATCATCTGTCACAGCTATTTCCATATAGAAATCGTATTTCTCTTTAAACTTTATTTTAAAAATTTTACTGTGAAATACACATATGAAAGAAATTATAAAACAGATTTTTACACTTTAAAGAATAGGAAAATATATATGGTGTGACAAGTTTTTAACAAATACTTTGAAAAGTAGTTACAGTGTCAGTGTTTACATTTGATGGTACATAAAATATACCCATGTTTAGGTATTTTGTTAAATCTTTAGATTGTCACTATTACTGTATAGTGACACCCTTCTAAGGAAGAAAAATATGTAAATCATGGGGTATAAAATTTACATAGACCTTTGTAAACTAAAAGAGTTTCTTTCTTGGTGAAAAATGTGTGCTTTATATCTGTTTATGTTTTAATGAAAGAGGACCAAAAGAAACTATCTTGTTTTCCAAGGATTTATATTTGATGTTTCAAAGCTACAACTTTGAATATTAATTTTTTTTATAATTCTCAAATCCTTATTTCTACCTAAGACCTTCTGTTTGGACTTCATATTACCTGTATATACCTTGAAAAGAACCCATTGCATTTAGCCCTCAAGGAAGTTAATGACATGATGTCTGGGACTTGTGTCAAAATAATTGAGGAAAAGAGGGAGTAGCAAGATTAGCTGATAGTTGTTAAAGCTAAGGAAGTACACATATGGCTCTTTATGCTTTTGTATACTTAAGTTTGTTTTCATAATTTTTTAAAAAAATAAATAGAGAATTGGAAGTGTAGGTCAGTGGTACAACTTTTGCCTACCATGTTTAGTGATCTGGG